AAATCGAATTGCTAGAGTATCGTATTTTTCCTTGCATATTGCGAGACATTTTGAATGAAATTTAAAGGCAAAGAAGGGATTGATTGTTGTATGCTAATGGTCTTTTCCTTATTTTCGATGATATTATTTGTATTACCTGTACTATATATATATATATATATATATATATATATATATATATATATAGCAATCCGTTCATAAAAGTGTCTAGTCTGAAACCTGTTAAACATGTGTATGCACACTTTCTTTTTCTTTCTATCTATCTCCCCTCTATCATTCTCATTCTCTTAATTTCTTTTTCATTCTTATCATAAATATATATATATATATATATATATATATATATATATATATATATATATATATATATATATATATATAAATCAACCATTCATTCATGAAAATATATATAGGCTGAATCCCTGTTAAACACGTGTATAATCTATCTATCTATCTATCTATCTATCTATCTATCTATCTATCTATCTATCTCATCCCGTGTATGTTCATATCTAATTCTCTCTTTCTCTCTCTCTATATATATATATATATATATATATATATATATATATATATATATATATATATATGTATATTAACATTCTCTCTACTTGGGAGGTATAGATAGCTAGGTGGACAGATAGATCTCAACAAATGGAGACATGAGCAATGTAAATCTTATGGGTATTATTGTAATCTAGCAATAAGGCCTATATCACCTGATCATTTCACCGAGCGAAAGTTGAAGCAACCGATTGACGTAACTTATGCAAATCACAAGGCACGAAACACCCTGAGTAGTGAGAGAAAAATGTCGAAATACAAGACACCCTATGCTATATCAGATGTCACTGGCGAGGTCAAACCAACTTGTCTCTCTTACACAGGTGTTGACGCTTTTTAAATATAGTCAACAAGTAAGAAAGTTTGCATTAACCCACATTAAATTACTGACCTTGGGTTGCATTCTACATCAAGTGAAGTGATAAATAAATTGTTATTCCTGAAATTAGCTTTCACTTCCTGTCGTATTGCGATTTTATCCTTGTATATATCTTCTTCTTCTTCTTCTTCTTCTTCTTCTTCTTATTATTATTATTATTATTATTGGTGTTATGGGCGCGGCTTTTTACAACATTCGCTTTCCGACCATGAGACCCGGGATCAAATATGATCGTAGTCGATTTATCAGGGAGGTGACTTCTTCTCTATGTTAGCGGCCTGGGGAAAAAGGGCCTGAAAGTCATGCCACGGGGTTAACCCAAGCCTTGATAGGGAAATTGGGTAGACGGAACTATTTGTGCTAACACAAAATCACAAGTCATCCTGACTGAGTGTTTGAGCCCACTGGCCCTGTTCAGACTGCTGATCACACCGGATAATATTCTTCCCTCCCAGAAACTGTAACTAAGGTCTGCTTGGCATAGTTGCAGTATAAACCACAGGTTGGCACTTTGATTGTTTAACAAACACAAATTTGTCTGAGCAGGCCTCCTCATCAGAGACTGAATATATGCCCTGGTAGCCAGGTATCCTCGGATAGAAGAGACCAACCACTATATACTACCTCTATTGTAAACGTACAGAAACCGGCCAGTGGTTACCCCATGTTCCATTTCCATTCACTTTCGCGTTGGTTTGCACCAAAGACTAGGAAAGCCCAGCTTCACGTCCACTCAGTAAACAAAAATGAAAATGAACGCCACGGCGAGAAATGAGAGCACGAATTTTTTTTTCAAATAAATTTAGTTGTTTTATTCAGGGCTTCAGGGTTTGGATGGATAAGTGGGTGATTCTTGGGATAGCCGCTGCTAGGTCGGACTATTAGTTAATCTCTTCCCTCCTACAAACTCGGAATCACCCGAATGACAGTCTGACTAGAACTAGCTTCTTGAATCACGCTGATCACGCTCCATCCCAGAAATTGTAACTGAGGTCTGCTCAGCATAGTCGCAGAATAAAAAAAAAATCAACTTTTTTTAAATCATAAAAAATACCATACCACGGTTGACCTTGTAAGTGAAAATTGGGTAGACGGAACTATTTGCAAGCCGTTGATGGGTGTGCTAGCATGGAGTCACAAGTCATCGTGACCGAGGGTTTCAGTGTTATTCAGACTGTTGATCATGCCTGATAATACGCACTCTCCCAGAAAATGTAGCTAAGGTCCGCTCGGCATACTTGCAGTATAAACCACATATCGAGTTATACTTATTATAAAACCCAGGTTGGTTGGTTGTGTGTGTGTGTGTGTGTGTGTGTATGTGTTCGTTTATATATGGGATCGGATTTCCTTCATTTTTCAACCGATTTCAACAAAACTTCACTTTTTTTTGGCAGGTAGTGTTTCTTATTGTCTTGCACACTTTTTTTTTCTTTATTTTTACATTCAGAATGCTTTAAAAATTCCATTTACAAGACAATTGTTTATAATAAAATTCTATTCAATCGATAGACACATAACGATTGAAAACAATGTTTTTGTTTGAGTTTGGGTTTGACCAATTCGTAAAAAAAAAAAAATAATTAAGACATGCGTGTCCGTCAACCTTAAACAATTTTTCAGTCTTTATGATGGTCGATACTTGATCTATCTCTTACTGTTATATCCCCGGGCAACACCGGGCTCTCCTCCTAGTATATATATATATATATATATATATATATATATATATATATATATATATATATATAGCAATCCTTACTGCAAGGTAACACATTAAAAACGTGACACTCACCATGCAGTACTGATGCCTATGTCCACAGTGTTTATATCTATAAATGCACTCTTTCCAATAGTGAGCAAATAGGAATATATAATACTAAAAAATATAGATATAGTTTCTCAGTTTTCAATTTAGCACCTAGCGATTGTGCTACCGGTAAGGAAAGATATATATTTATTATTACTATAAATTATACTTCTCTTATTATACATCATGCCCTATTTTATTAGCACTGCCACTCAATGTGTGATATTATATATACCGAGTGTAATGTCAAAACTGTCTAATTGTTAGATTAAGATTTGAATCGCTGTATCTTAGAAATGATTAAAGATATTTTACTGGAATCCTTCGAATTTTTATAACATGATTGGACTCTACTTTGAGCATTAAGAATGTATAATTACTCTCCAAGCTTAACAGAAGAATCGTGATGAAATTGATCATAAACGAAAATGTCATGTTCATCATTAATTAATCATAACTAAGGAAACTCATGAAGGATTGAAATAAAGTTCATATATATATATATATATATATATATATATATATATATATATATATATATATATATATATATATTTTAAAAGACATTTTTATGTTTAACGTTGTCTTTAATAAATAAATTGTCGGACCTTGTCCATTTCTTAATATATGACGTCATTTGTTTACATTTGATACGCCAGAGCAGTTATGAATGTACGAGATTCATGGAAGATTGAAGTTTATAAGCAGTAAATTCGACCTTGTCTACCGAATGGTTCTTTGTAGCCCAGAGGTAAGGCACGTCAGCGTATATGACGGTTCCGTATAGGATGCATGTTCGAATCCTGTCAAAGAACGAATATTTTCTATGAAAATTTCTCGGACATTCAGGCCGTTAAATGTTATTTAATACTGTTTATCATAAACAGAGCATTTGCTTAAATACTTGTATCTATAAATAACAACGTTAAACATAAAAATGTCTTTAATAAATAAATTGTCGGACCTTGTCCATTTCTTTATATATATATATATATATATATATGTATTATTCCAGTTGATCCTCGCCCTCTCTAATTTAATAACTTTCTTTCCTGAAGTAACAATGTACTTCACACGTTTCGCGTACGATTTCATTTTCAAGTGATAAACATCTTATGAACTGAGTTGGATCTTTTCTAATTGATCTCTTTAGATCTAAGTTGAAATGATGATCCCTCTTTCTGTTGTAACATCCTGATTCAGTTTCCTCTCTACTGTTCCCTCTTTTTTAAACTTATTCACCATTCTTTTGTTGGTTCTTGAATGGACATTGAAGATGGAAGCCAGAATATGAATCTTGTTACCATTACTGAAGGTCTGAATGATCTTTTTCCTTGATTGCTAAACGTCTTGTCTCAAAATCGACAAAAAAGAAACTCAATTAATTTCGTCTTTTTTTAGAAATTAAACATTTTTGCAATGGACAATATCGCCTGTTGTTACACGATTTGAACAATTTTGCTGTTTTCGTTTGGTATACACACACACACACACACACATATATATATATATATATATATATATATATATATAACACAATGTCGCCGATTGGTATCAACCCAATGTTCACTTATGTTTATATTTAAATTCTTCTCTAATATAGAGCACCTTTTACCCATAACTATATCATACCTTAAAAATGTATTTTTTTTTCCTTCCTATATATATATATATATATATATATATATATATATATATATATATATATATATATATATATATATATATATATATATAGAGAGAGAGAGAGAAGGAGAAAGAGACAAGTTAGACGTAATAATCAACACTACATGATGACTGGCATTCACCTCTTAAGCGATCGTCATACATGAAAATGACAGTCACCATATAGTGTTGATTTCTATGTCTACAATGTCTATGTTTATTAATGAACTAAACTAATAAGCACTTCCCCACTTTTTTAAACATAGAAAATTTTAAATACTATATATACTTATATATATATATATCTTATCAATTAAACGTTATTTTAGTAGATACTGATATTTGAGTAGACGCTCCATTTAATTATTAAACAATATATATATATATATATATATATATAATGTACGTGAGCTTCTGTATGTATGTATGTGTGTGTGTCAATATTCAGTTAAGATAAATATACCTGAAAAGAGAATATTAAAAAGAAATGACAAGAGAATTTTTTGATGTGCGTTTGTTTCCTTCTGAAATACACTTGCCTTTGATAAAATTCCTCAAGCAACGGGGGCTTAGGACACATCACGTGGAAACACGGATTCCCGTACAATCAACGAAGTTAAGCAACGTCAGGTCTGGTCGGTACCTTGATGGGTGACCGCTTGGAAATAGCTGGTGTTCTAAGTTTACATGTTCGGCTGGTGTAAAGGATAATGGCTCGGGATTGTTAATCGGGGAGCCTAGTTCTAATTTCGGTCGTAAATTTATTCGTCCATGCCCTTGGGTAGGCCATGAATTCCCCTATTCTTTCGTCAGATTAAATTCTCCGTTTAAGTAATAGGTCTTGTACCGCTAAATCATTATTATCTCCACCGTAAAAGAAAAAAAAAACTCCTACAATCTAAAATATTTTCCACCTGCAAAAAGGTTGATAATCCGTAGAAAACGAATCAATCCAGAAACAAATTCCGTTGCAAAATTAAGCTTTTCACTTGTCATATATGTGTGTATCAACATGGATATAAAAAGAATACCCGCTCGGCCCGGTGGCTAGGATCAAAGTGTAGTATCTGCGCTTTGTGAGCTGCCGGGTCGAGTGTCTGTCGAACTCTCTGCTTGCAGAGAGGAACCCGGACGAAGCTCCGCCGAAGGGTAGGGTTTCGTTGGGGGAGGTTGACGGAACTGGCCCGCCTCGCCGGTTTTGGATCGTTATTTATTTTTGGCTGGGCCTACGGGCTCAGAGAGACCCACATTAAAAAGGCCTTGTGCCACATTCGATCCCCGTGGGTGGATTGATAAATACCATCAACATGGATATTATTTTTTTAGGTAAAATTTCAGGTAACATCCGAGATAAAAATAAATGTAATGCAAGTCGAAATATGTTTTTTTTTTTTTTTTTAAATGGGTTATTGTTAAGAGTTACAAAATTGTGGAGCGTGCAGTCGCAACTCTTAGGTTAAATTTTGAAAATTTAATTTAAAAACAAAAATAATATCCATGCTTGATGATGATAGGATGACCTATCGAAAGTATTAGCATTTTTATGGAACATACAGAACATCTAAAAACAAGGATCGCCTCATTCAACGAGTCGTTAGTGGGTTAACACTTTTTAAATTTGTTAGCGCAGTGAATTCGCCATTTATTACATTAACCTTACTAATTTATCCTTTGTATGACTGCTTTATTGCATTATTAATTATACTGCACAAATCATAAATATATATTCCAAAATTCGTTTGAAAATGAAACAAAAGTAGGGTCTTTAATTTAATTATATAATTGAATTTGAAGATTTTAGTTTCGGATTTGAAACATGGTAATTCCTGTGTAGCGATGGAATCATATTTTTAAATCAGTTAAGTTATAATATATATATATATATATATATATATATATATATATATATATATATATATATATAGACAAATGGAGGAGAGAGCGAAAGAGAGAGAGAGAGAGAGTGTGAGAGAGAGGGGTGAACGAGCGGGAGAGGGTGTGTGTGGGAAAGAGAGAGAAAGTGTGTTGTATGTGTGGGAAAGGGAGCGAGAGAGAAAGTGAGAAAACGGATGGGGACATAATTAAAAAAAGATGTAAGTTAAATGTAATTTATCTGGATTATTTTATTAATGTTTTTACATATTTTTTGTTGTGCCATATATATATATATATATATATATATATATATATATATATATATATATATATATATATATATATATATATATATTATTTATTTAAAATATAATTATTTGAATTAAACTGAATTAAAGTACTAAGCTCTATTTCCATCTTCAAGCGAAATTTTTTTGGGGAATCGCTTGAAGATGGAACAGAGCTTAGTACTTTAATTCAATTTAATTCAAATAATTATATTGAAGTATTTCGGCTCTTGTTTTTGAAACATGAGAACTCTTATGTAGCGTGTTGGAATCATATTTTAAATAAATAATTATATTTATGCTCTACTTTTGTATCGAGCACTATTTTAAAAATAATAACAAAAATACTAAAGAACTTTGGATTATTTACCTAACGAGTTCTTTCCTATTTTCTCTATATTTTTCACATATATATATATAAATATATATATATATGTGTGTGTGTGTGTGTATATATATATATATATGTGTGTGTGTGTGTGTGTGTGTGTGTGTGTGTGTGTGTATATATATATGTGTGTATATATATATACACACACACACACATATATATATATATATATATATATATATATATATATATAAGAAACTAACAAATAATTAAGTGGCAATTTCTTTTAAAGATCTGACCAAAATATAGAAATTAAAATAAATAGAAAATTTTCAAACGTCAGATAGTTTTATAAAATAAGCAAAAGCAAAAAAAAAAAAATAAATAAAACAATTCAAGTCCGCAACAGGTGTGATAATGTTTTTGTTGTTGTTACGCAGATTATTGCTTCTTCTTTCAACCCCGCCCCCCCCGACGACTGGAGAGTGACGCTTCCTCGTAAATAAGCAAACACGTATGCCTTGAAACGTACACCCCGACACATCTGCAGGTACTAAATAAGTGAGCGATATCGAATGTACACAATCGACCTGAGAAATGTTGTATCGCAGCGAAAGATTTAAAAATCCTGGTGCGTCAATCACCGGGTGGGTAACGGGTGATACGGCTTTTTGCAAGTGAGAAGGGTGTAAAGCGAACAGGGACATTCGAAGGATATTACGACATTTCTAGAAGCGGCGATTATTCTAAAAAGCCACGCCCACCTGCCCATAACTTAGTGCTTTACCTACTAAATTTTTTAGTCGATATTTATGTCCACCTGGGTATCAAGGATTTTACAAGTACTAGTTGACCTAGATATCGGGCAAAGTTTGGCACAGTGCAGTGTGACAGAGCCCTGGGGAAGGAGACTTGAGACAACCGAGAAGCTGTGCGTTCTATACACAGAGCATGTAAGTAACGAAAAAATTGGAATAAAAATCGAAACAAAAAAACTGGGATCAAAACACTATAAAAGTATAAAAACAAGGTTTAATAACAGAAATACTTTAAAAATTTATTACCCGCAATAAATCTTTGAAGAAAAAAAAACTATTACCAGCAATACATTTTTGAAAAAAAAAATTACCAACAATGTTTTTAAAAATAAATATTACTAGCAATACATTTTTGCCAAAAAAAATTATAAAAATTTTGCCGGCATTAAATAACCCATTGAGGTTGATATGCTGTAAAACAAACCAAACCAAACCAAACTACCAGCTACAAAATTTCATAAAATTAAAACGAATTGATGTTTATTTTACCGGGACCGGTAAAATAAATATGAAGACTATTTTACCGGGACCGGTAAAATAAATATGAAGACTATTTTTTCGGTCCCAGTAAAATAGACCAAGGCTATTTTGCCGAACGCGGTAAAATAGATACCAAGGCTATTTCAGGTAAATATAAATAGTGTTTTAAAACTAAAAATATATTTTATTCGATATCGTCAGTGCAACGGTTGTGTGAGCTGTGTTGGCAGGACTTGACCAACAAGGATTTTTTGGTCTATGAATGTTACCTACAGTGGGGGTGCTACTTCAGTTTATTGGTAAGAAAACTATGCCCAATATAGGAGGTTGACTTTTCACTTTATTCGGAAAATCAACATTATACTCAATGTGAAAGCTACTGTTTGATGTGCTAAGTACTGACATCAAAAATTAGATTCCTAGCTTTTACGAAGTTGAGCATTTCGATTTAAGGATCGTCTGAAAGAAATTTACAGAAATACCTAATTTCCGCGGGTTTTTGCTTACAAGCTGGCGTCAAAATCTGACCATTTCAAGAATAAATCCAAATATACATTGAATGTAAAATATATTCAAACCAGAATTCTAATTATGAATCATCACAAACAAAATATGCAATCAATATGTCTTCGATAAGAAAAACTGTGTAAAAATATTGTAAAAGATTACAAACATCTACTCAATGAATAAAATTTGCTAGATCATTTGCTAGATAATAATTAATAAAACCAGAAAATAGATTAAAGCATGTATAATAATGCTGAGTACACATTATAAGATAAAATCTTTTAAATTTGCATTGTTTATTGAAAATCACGTTACAACGACTGCACTGAATAATATATTACATGATAATATAGATAAATTGTTCAGTATTTTTCTTTTTGAAGTAAATGAAGGTCTTATTTGATGGCGCAATGATTTAGTAATAATGTATTTGTGCCATGCATTTTTCCATATACAATTTGTAAATCTTCAGTAAATTACAAATTTTATAAGGCTGTGCTGTTAGGCTTTCTCTGGTGACCGGAATGAAATTCCAATGCTGCGATTTTGAACCTAAACTCAACCTTTAATCTCGTTGCCTCAATAAATGGTAATGAGTTAGGAAAAAATATTTTATGTCTTTATTTCGCATATCAAACGTCAACTTTGAAATTGAGTGCAATATCACAGTTCTAAAATCAACTTGCCCTAATTCCCAAGGGTATGTTTTGGAGTTGCAGAGACTGTTATTCTTGAAGTGCCTAAAATATTCAGACTTCTGTATTTATTTTAATAATTGATGATAAATAAATGATTTTAAAAAAAGAAAAAACAAAAAAAACAAAAAGTCGAATAGGTTATTTTGCCGATCCTGGTAAAATTGACATCAATGCTATTTTGCAGGTAATTATAAATAGTGTTTTAGAAGTAAGGATATATTATATTTAAGATCATCAGCGAAGTGGTTCTGTGAGCTTTGTAGACAGGACTTGAACAATATGGATTCTCTAAGTCTGTGACTGTTGTCGTCAGTAGGTGCGCCTGAAGTGTATTGGCAAGAGAATCATACCCAAGGGCAAGTTTTGGATTTGCAGAGACTATTATTCTTGAAGTGCTTAAAATATTCAGACTTCTATATTTCTTTTAATAATTGATGATAAATAAATGAGTTTAAGTTGTGTTTTAACAATTAATGGTGGAAATTTTTTAAATTGTCTTAATAATTAATAGCGAAAATAAATAAACTTCTGTACTAAATCTGTGTGTTGCTATATTTTTTTTAACGTTACCTACCGTCATAATAACAAAATATTTACCGGCAAAATAGCCTGGGGTCCATTTTTACCGAGACCGTGTAAAATAAACTTAAAAGCATGTTTGTCGATTTTACCGGGACCGGT